TTTCACGGATGAGTACTATCAATCCAGGTATTTTCCGCGGACGGGCACTATCAATCCGGGTATTTTCCGCGGGCAGGCACTATGGGCTGATAGTGTCTCTCCACGGATGAACACTATCGCATCACGTGATCGATTTAAACCAATAAGAACCGGAGAAAATTTAGTGGTGAACTATAAATCAAATTAGGTTTCGAGCCTATTACTCTGTGTTTAACGATATAACCTGGATTTTGCGAATTTTGCAATTAAAAAGTAACATAAATCAATAAAAAAAACAGCAAAATAAGAACTAAATCTAGTTTTTTTTCGTCTTATATGCCGGATTTGTCTCTGATTAAGGAGGCTGTCAGTTGTTTACAGCATCTTTTTTTTTGAAACACTGTTATAATAAAAGAAATTCCCATCTCCTATTTTGCTCCTAAGGAAGATCCATCAGTCTGACCTATCGAGGTACCATAGCAACGGTTTAGTCTTCCAAATGACCTTTGAGTTTTATTATCAGAAAATAATAGTCAGAAGGAACTCCATAGTCTCATTTACATAGACTGCTATCTTCGCTAACTTGCAAAGTGTATCATTTTACCAGATATATTTTTTCGCCAAGCCTGACATACTTATTTAGGTTTCGCATCTATCAAAGGGCTCTTCAGACTCCTGAAGTCAAACTCATCGAAAATTGTTTTGGAATTCCGACCAACTTCTATATGATTGCAGGATTCCAGCCCAGCCTCATAACGAAAATTTTAAGGCGTTTATTCGTTGACTTGTTTCTATAAGCTTAGAGCCTAAATGACGCTGCTCATGAGGCCAAAAGCAACTCGTAGTGTTCGGAAAACTCATACTTCTGTGGCTTATTTCTTGAATTTTATTTTCGATCTTTAATAAAATCAGTGCTCTGGTAATTTTTTCATAAAAGTTTGGAAATCGTTGAGGAACAGCCCGTGATTTTAAGCACAGCGGTCCCTTGAATGCCTAACTGTTAAATTTCGTATCTTATGAGGCTAAAAAGAAGTATACTCCACTCTTTTATTCAATTTTCTTACATACATACAAGATGATCCTCGACCCGCAGATGGCAGATGCTGATCGAGGCGGGTCAATTTTTTCTTTACTAAATTTAATTAGTATGTGTAATCAAATGGCGACGAGTGAGCCTTTATACCAGGAAAATTATCAGAATTTTGACAAAACGCAAGTGAAATTATTTCCTAATTTCACGAGAAAACCATTTGATTACCTTTTAATATTGTGGGTGACAAATTACGTCTTGTTTACACACGGAGGCGTAAAATTGCTCGAGTACTTTTATCCAACTGCTCGGAAAGAATCATCTCCAGGTTTTTCTCAAGGCTATTTTCGTCACACCACTTCTCAAAAACTCGCACCCAGTAAATTATGCTCTTTCGCTTATTTAAATTTTCGGCCGCTTCTTTTAATTTCGTAACTTCTTCAAGGGTCACCGTCTTAAATCTCGACGCCATCTTGGCTCTGATCGAGATACAAGAGATGTTACCATGCAATTTTGTAATTTCACATGTGAAATTAAAAATTAACGCTGAAATTTCGCGCCAAAATTAAGGAGTAATTTGTCACCTATGATATTACACTGTTAATAATACAGAAATGAAGAAATTACACCCAAGAAAAAAAAAAACAAGAAAAAAAAAAACCTAAATGGAAAACGTTCAATGTAAAACGTTCAATATAAAGGAGAAAAAGTCCTAAAGTTTCCGGCTAGGTGTACGAAAAATGTTGTATGACAGATTCAATTTGTTGCAATTTTGCTGTGTTTGAATTTTAGCATTATCTCTTCTTACAGTGATAATTTCTCAGTTGCTTTCTGCATAATTATATTTGGGAACACCAATAAAATTGATTGTCTGATAGTTTCTCATAAAATTATTACTATTTT